TACTGGGAGCATCTACTATCTGCATGCCGCAGAACTCAACCAAAAAGACTTCCTAACGTTGTCCAAAAACGACGCCTCGAACCTTATGCACGAAACGCTCAACCCTGAATCCTTAGACTCTACAAACTCTTTTTCAGGCCGGGCTTTAGGTGCGTGCCGGCAAGCTGGAATCTTAAGGTCTTCACAAGACACCAGCAAACTTGTTGGTTTCTGAACCCCAAACCCGCTAACCCGCTATCGCTTTCCCTTGGACGGCTCTTCACGGCGCAGCCTCGCCGGCACGGTGGCGCGCGACGTCCTCGGCAAACTCCGAGCGCCTCGGCTGAGCTGAGCAAGGTTTTAGGGAGTCTTTTTGCTCAAGACCTTGACTGTTTAGGGTTTCGGAATGTTTGGGGGTCATTGACTTTAGCGGTGCTTGGGCATGCCGCGCGAGGTTCTTGGTGCATCGTGGGTTGGAAGTGGAGCAATCAGCAAGGCTCCTGAACGCACGCGGCTGGGAGGAGCCTGAATCGCCTTTCACAGAACTCAAAAGCAAGCCCCGGCCACCCTCACCCGAAGGTCCAATAAAGTCAGAGCCCGGAAGTCAGAAGGGCTGCCGTCAAGATAAGAGCTAGCATTAGGGACACCCTTGGGGATATAGACTCAATAAGGTCCCTTTTAAGAGAGCCATAAGTAGGGTTAAGAAGGGTCCCGTAGAAGGGGTCTCCCTAATACTACCTAGGACAAGACAGCAGCGTGCAAGCTGGGACGTCGGCATGGCTTCAATCTGCCGGTGGGCCTCGTTTGGGGGTTGGGCCGGAGAATGTCTTCTCGAACCGATATCAGATAGGAAGCAGCTAGAATTGGTGTTGCACACCACCAACACTAGGTACGTGTATGAGTCTCTGCTAACGCATATGAGGCTTCCGCACTTTCTCAGACGTACAGTTCCCTTTTCTGGGTGAACTTACGTAATGTCAACACATAAGGAGGTCCGACTATTTCGAGGCTCCATGAGACCGAAAGGCTCGCTCGCGGTTTCGGGTTTTTTGCCTCCTACATGGCTGAGCGAGTGGCGAAGTAGGGTACGGTTTAGGGTTTAGGGTTTAGGGTTTAGGGTAACCCTAAACCCTTGAACCGGAAGCCCAATTGCCCCCTTCCATAACTGCAGAACGCTTGGCCTTGGGCACTCTACCACCCCCACGTGCAACCCTATCCAACTCATCCAACCATTTTACAACCCTACAAAGGACCTATTCTAACGAAAACACTATAGTTAAAAACAATCCTAAAGCACCTTTTCCTTGCAGAACAGCTAATGTAGGGGCCTTGAGAATTAGAGGCCCATTATACTATTAATATAACAAGGAACCCCCAAAATAATATAGGCAATTATTTAGGCCCCTACATTACCCTTAACCATGTTGCAACTGGCCTGCAGCGACTGTGCGAGGATGATCACTCGATCACAACCACTTAAGCGACTCGTGCGCTCAGGCAAAGCATCCGAGATGATTTCACATGTAAGTACAAGCTGCCGAAGACCCGAAGCCGTAAAACCATTCTTGGGCTTCCGGGCTGCAAACTGCTCTGCCCTAACGGCTTGGTTGCAGGCGCTCTGCAGCCTCCACGCGTCGGATTCAGATTAGAAGGCTTGGGGTTGAGAGTTTAGGGTTTAGGGTTTAGGGTATGAGGGTTCAGGATGGCTGTGGCAGTTTATAGCGGAGGGATTGTGCGGCATGGGCCCAGCTGAGGTATTTGATGCTTTGAGATCAAGGGGTTAAGTTTGGGATGCAGTGCCTCGTTCCTGACTAAAGCATAACAAGTCCAACCTGCTGCTTACCAATGTGCAAGGTGCCAAGTAGCAACAGAAGTTACAGGGGTTGCTGCTGCATCCCAGGATCCGGCTGCTGGTGATTCTAAAGATGCGGGTGCCTAGGTGAAAGGAAAGGTAAGATCAACAGCTTCTTATGTAATGACGTATCAACGACATGCATGTAAACATGCATATATAGAGCGCTAGATAGATTGTGTTATAGACAGTGTCCCCTCACGTGTGCTGGCATATGAGCCTCCATGTTTATGTACGTGTGTCGAAATCTTTTGCACAAAGCCATGGAGTTGTATGTACATAAGTAAGAGGCCCTGCCGATAAGAATAATGCTTCAGGTGTGTATTCCTGTATAACTGTCTCTGGGATGTATCAGGTCGAAACGCGGCACTGAGGCCATGCACTCTTCCGTCATGCTTTGCGTCCGCAGGCGCTCCGCATCGAGGCCTGGCAGGTATTTCACAAAATCAAGAAGTTTAGGGTTGGGGCTTTTGGGGTTCGGATGTGGGGCTTTGAAACTGTTCGTGTTAACCTTGTGGTTTCCTTATGTCCCCAGTAAGCCAGGGAAATAAAAGGTTAAACTTTCAGACTACTACTAGATTATAAGAACCCAAAAAGTTTAAAGGTTGGGCATTGGGGAACGAAGTGTTCTGCGTCTTAGGCGGTTAAGGATTTAAGTGTCGTGCTTAGGGCTCAGGATTTTCGGGCCTGGCTCTGCCAGATGCCGGATGCCCTTCTGCACCCTGAGTTTCGGGCCAATTTAGGTTTAGGGTTTAGGGTTTAGGGTTCAGGGTTCAGGGTTTAGGGTAATTTAGGTTTGGGGTTTTAGGTTTGGGGGTTTAGGGTTTTGAGTTTCGGGACAGATAGGGGTTGACTTAATGTAGGGGCAGAAATAATTACCAATACTATTTGGGGGTTCCTCATAATAACTACAGTATAATGGGCCCCAAAATCTTATTATTTCTATTAAGGCCCCTATGTTACTTTGTTCGATGGGCTATACAGCGTCAGCAAGACATCAGTGAGTTCACCAACTTCCCACTGTGGCGCTGGGGTTTGACGATCAGCTGTTGGGATTAAGGTGCCAGCTGCATGTTGCGAAAGAAGCTTCAACCTGAAGAGACCAGACGCCTGCGTACCTGCGACTTATCGAATGTCGAACATTAGTCCGTAGTTCCTCATGCCTTTCACGCTGCTGCAGCATTGAGAACTGCTGGGAAAGTGGCATTCGCAAAACCTGCCTCCTACACCTTGCAACCCTCAAAGCAAGTGAACTGCAACGAGAAACCCAGCGCAGAAGAAAGGCCCTTTCGAAACATGCCAGCGCGACGCAGGTCAAACCGTGCCCGCAGAAGAGACACCTCCTGATCGACGGAGATTTAAGGAGTTTGGAATGTGTGGTTCAGGGTTAATTAGAGGGGGTTTAGGGGCTCTTGCATGCGTGGTTTAGGAGCGAAGAGCATTGACAGCGTTCCCCGAAACCCGAAACTCTGAAATCAAAATAGTTCCGGTCGCCTGTGATTCTCTTCGATGCGTTGAGGCCGCATGCTCCACATGCTGAACGACAACAAGTCCCCGAAGCCCTGTAAAAGCACTGTCGGGACAATCCACTCAACCAACTACTCAGAAAGGCGACGGACTCTACCACTCTAATCCTGTTCGAAGCTGAACGTTCTCTCGGCATTCCGAGTCCAAGGGCAAGGAAGTTTAGGCAAGAACTGCCCTAGACCTTAACCCTACAAGCACCAAAACCGTAATCCCCTATCCCAAGCCGTATAAACAGATTTTGCTCTCAGGGTTGAGCCGGATTTCCCTGGCCAACGGCGTCTCGTGGGCGGTGGCCTCTTCGTGCGTTAGGGTTCAGCTTTGTGAGACTATGAGGCCCTACACACTCAAAAATTGAATCCTACACCCCGAGCCTGACACCGCAAAACCCGGCCTTATCTGCAGTTTTGCGTAGATTCCCAGTGCTGGCCCAGCAGAAGTTAGTTCAGTTTTAAAGGTGTTTTATACGAAAATTCCAAAACGTTACTGTCTGTAATGTCTCTCTCCGGCAGTATTTTTGAGGTCTTGTACTTCAACGAAGTGCCAATCCACTGTTGTTGGAAGGCCTCATCACCATAGCTACTTGGAGGATCATGGGTAGTTATAAATGGGGTTACAAGTAGGGTAGCTACAGTTATAACCCATATTAGGGGACTTATAGCTCCATTTATATCTACCCATGAACCTCCAAGTAGCCATGGTTATAACTGTTGTACTGACCGCAACAGTGTTTAATTCTAGCCACAAGAAGCCCGTCAACAACTCCCAAGCCAAACTTGGTGGCAAAGCCTTGGAACCTTGCATTTTTTCTCGGCCGGGTATGTCCGGACCATGCGCAGCCCATGGCTGATCTACAAAAGTGGGTCGGAAGTCTTCGGTGGGAGCAGCTTCCGTCCTACACGATGATCCGAAGGGGGTTCCAGGTTCCAGAAGCTTCAGAAGCTAAAACTCTAGGCCCCAGGCTTGAAACCATAGATCATGGGTCGTAGTCTGAGAGGGTCACCCCCTCTGCGGCTGCAAAAGCGATGTCCGTGTGACTTCGCTCAAAGTGCGCTGTGATGGGGACGAGTTCTTGCCCCGGGAAGAGCTACCACGTAGCTGCTGTATGTCCTCTCTGAGGATAGGCTACCAGACAACGACTTCCCTCACAGGGCTCCCTGAACCCTAAACCCTAAACCCTAAACCTCGGAAGAGACGGCTCTCATTCTCATTCAACCTTTCGGAAGCCCGAAGTCTGCCAGTTCAATCCTCTGCTGCGAAATGTGAAACATGCGACGGTCTATTTCGAAGGCTACACATTGAAGACCCAGACAAACTGCTGCAATGTGCCGGTGAAACCCAAAACCCTAAACCCTACTACGTCCGACACCTTTAACAGCCCCGTCGCTCGAGTTCTTGAGCCCGCCAGTACTGTGACTTCAGCTGCGAGTTCCGCACAAAAGCCCAGGGCCCCACCCAGAGAGTCCAACCTGTCCCTGAATCAGGGTTTAGGGTTTTGGGTTTAGGGTTTAGGGTTTTGCATGTTGCCATAGATCATATACATGAAGATATACGGTACTCAGCAAGTTGGGCTCCTTGGGAACATCGGGAGGGCCCTCCCACTAGAGGTTTTGGACTGGACATCCCCAGCTGATGGAGCCGGCACTCACCTTTTGCAGGGAGATTCGCACACGCCGCTGGTTTCCTGGGCGGACAGCCACTGGTCCAGCTCGCTTAGGCTTGCCTAAATGTTTAGGGTTTCGGGCTGACGTTCCGAGGACTCCCGAAACCTTGGCACTGCTATGGCGGAAGGAAAAAGTTCGTCCTGATACACATCAAACAATTGTCTACATGTGGGTACCTTTTAGCCGCCCTTGTTCAAAAGAGACGCCTTCTTCTTGACACTCCAAAAACCCTAAACCCTAAACCCTAAACCCTAAACCCTAAACCCTAGGACCGCAGCCATCTTGGGCCCCTTGGCCCCCAAGCTCCACCCCGGTTTTGGGGGCCTACTCGCAAAGGAAATCCGAACTTGAAAGGTGCGGTTTAGAGTTTAGGGTTTAGGGTTTAGGGTTTAGGTCCCTGTTTTCGCCCCAAAAAAAGCGCAGGGAATGCTGGACAGCTTAAGGTTGAGGGTTGGGGGTCTAGTTTCGACAAGGCTCCGCCGGTCTAGCTTAGGATTTAAGGGTTTGGGGCTTCGGAGTTTAGGGTCTATACTCTTCTTCGGAACAATCCCCCGCTGCCAAAATGCCGCCCGAGCACGACGCAAAGACAGGATGAACTCGTTTGTACGTCAGCCGAACTCACACAAACACCGAGCCCAGCATTGCCCCAACTACGCCAACCTGTGCAACAGCTACCGGGGCATGGGCAAAAAAAACTGAGCTTCGTGGTTTTTTGTGGTTCTTATGCTATCATTGTGATGGGCTTCCTGGCTTTGGGGTTCAATTTTTCCTGTCGAGACGAGCTGCGAACATGTGGGAGGACGCAGCGGCGAGGCCAGCGAGGAGTTGGAAGGACTCGCTCTTGCACCTTCGCGACGTTTCCCGTGACAGGGTTTAGGGTTGAGGGTTTAGGGTTTAGGGCACCTTCGGATCTCAGGCCGGGCACTTTCTGGAGAGGATCCATGCATCGACTTCACGACCTGCTCTAAACAACTAATGTAGGGGCCTTAATAATTAGAATAGGGCTTTGGGGCATATTACACAATAATTACAATAAGGAACCCCCAACATAGTATAGGTAAAAAATAGGGCTTCTATATTAGATGTCAATGCAGGCTTCTGGGGTCCCAAGCATTTGCGGCGACCCGAAACCCTAAACCCCTAAAGCCGGAATAGAAGCCCGCTATCGGATCACAAGCCAAGCTGCACAGCCAAGGAGATGTCGTCAGTAGACTTGCAGGCCGATCTCCTCGCAAGAGTACTGCTTCGAAGGGTGTAGGGTTTAAGTTTGGGGTTTCGGGCCTAGGGTTTAGGGTGGGCCTGCTCAGGGTTTAAGATTCAGGGGTTCGGGGATAAGGTACACACCCTGTACGCAACACACCACAACATCCCACAACAACAGAAAGCACCCATCCCCATCCAGACGCAGCTACAAGTAGCAGAAACAAAGGTTCGCGATCTGAGGTGGATTAAGGTGGGCATGCAGAAGTTTAGACGCATGCCCGCAAAGCCACATAAACAAGCACAACATGAAAGGCCGCCAAGGCTCATGACGATGGTGGACATGAAAGACTGAATCAAATTCCTGCTTGATTGGGCGATGCTCTTGGCGCAGACCCAACCTTGACCGGGAGACTGACTCACGTGTGTGATCCCAACTTTCGGGACTTGGGGCATGGAGGTGTTCATTGGAGTCTCAACTTACAACTTACTCTTCAAACCTTAAACAACGCCCCATGATCCTCTGCCAGCTACGTGCAGGGCTTAGGGTTTCTAACGTGGGAATTCTAGATCGGCCTCTCTATGAGTGCCCACTACGCCCGGCTCAAGCCTACATGGCGGGGGAGGGGGCGGTTCTTGAACTTAGGGTCCCTCGCTTCGGGATCTGGTGTAAACAACTATGGCAATACATAAGCATCCTCATTTGTAGCCTTGCAAAATTTTGTGATACATGTGATATGGGTCTTGATGTGCAGTCAGCATGGGGGCTGTAGGCTGACGGTAGGGTCTCAGTTGTGCGATCTGCTAGCAGCAATGGTAAGTCGGGGTGGTCGCAACAACACAGATGGGCAATGCTGCTGTTATTGCTACCCAGAAAAGAAGGAAATACAGCAGATTCATGCTAACGATGATACAGCTCGATGCTCTGCGCACTGCCTCTGGCAACAACGTGCAAGTGCGAACCAAGCAGCTGCTGTGGTAGCAGTTCCACCTCGACTGCCATCTTTTGCGCCAAAGCCGTGTGCGAAATCGGTTGCCACAAAACAGAAGGCTTCGCACTAAGGACCAAAGACATGCAGAAACCTTTACAGAGCCCTTTTCGAGCCCTTGTAGAACCTGTGTAGAGACCTATACACAAGAGCCTCGCATCACCGAACCAATGTACTCGTTGGGGTCCGCAGACTCACAAGTTGTATAGTAAACCCCCTAAACCCTAGGCCCTAAACCCTAAACCCTAACCCATTATAGGATATTATAGGTAATCCATGAAGCCCCTAGATTAGCCAGCCCCGCGGCATGATGTCAGCCCCATCCTGGATCACACCATCGATGCCGGACTGGACCTGGCTCGATCTTGGGCTGAGGCTTTCGGGCTTTTGGGGCTTAGGGTTTTGGGTTTAGAGTTTAGGGCCTAGGTGTTCAGGGCTTAATTAGAAGTTTCAGGGCTTGTGCTTAAGGTTTGGCGTTTAGGGTGTATGGCTTGGGGTTTGGGGGTCTAGGGTTTAGGGCTAGTGGGTAGGGCTTAGGTCTTAGGGTTTTAGGATCGCGAGAGGTTTAGGGTTACGTGTGTACGGTGACTGCTTAGGGGTCTCACAGGCTTAAAGTTACTCTTAAAGTTACTTTTGCAGGGTTTGGGACAGCGGTCATGCTTCCTTCGTGGACTTATACTCACACCTAGTCTCCAACCTAGCTAACCAACTTGAACTCGCGGCTGAATAGCGATGCAACACAAATCACGAATTACATTGGGGATGCCTACATCGAAACCAACCTTCTACTATACCCGAAGAACCCAAAGCCCAACAACAAAGCAGAAACAAACAAGGTATCCCACAAAGGAAGTACTTGGGAAACTGTGTGAGAACCTAACCAACCTGTCCAACACGGGCCAAGGGTCGTTCAGCGCGCTGGACCTGGGCGCGGTAGGATGCAAGGGCCAAGACTAGAGACTGTCGGCCTGAGTCCGAGAACCGGGCTCTTAATTCAACGTGCCATAAGAGGGTTTAGGGGTTTAGGGTTTAAGGTTTAGGGTTTAGGGGAAGTGGCTATAGGCTACCATTATTTTCGCAACTTGACTTTTGGTTCGCTTGACAAGCACTCTGAAATCACATCGCTGGGCCATGCGACACCACGGGCCCTCGGAGCCTACGGCTCGTTGAAGCTCTCGCATAGCTTCGAAGCAACGAAATTCAGAAGACTACAAAACCTAAATATCTCACATTGAAATTCCCTCTGTAAGTGCCATCATATCCGAAACATACCAAAATGTGAACAATCTCACACTTCGATTCTCTTTGTAGGTGCCATCATACCCGAAACCTATGCTTTTATCCGTAGCCGTGAGGGAGCGTGGTCTGTCGGCCCCAACGCGCCCACGCATCGCCCCAAACCCTGAACGCCTTATAGGGTTGTTTTGCCTCCTGCATTGCCTAAAGGGTTTAAGGTTTAGGATTTTGGTACTCACACTCGGACAGGCCAAGCGCGAGGTTATTGGTGCGTGGTCGGTTGAGGTGAAATACTTCCAAACATGTTCCGACTATTCAACCCAAAGTTGCAATGAGACGAGGGCCCAATAAAACAAGCGGACATCTCTGAAAGCCGTACTTCAGAGGCGCCTCGACAAAGGGGAACATGGCAGGATAAAAGTCCAGCAGGCGGGATGTAACAGGCGTGACGCCTAGAAATCTCAAGGCTCCTTAGAGGAACCTACCTGTAAGAAGCCGACTTGGGGAGGGCAGCTGCAAGGTAACTTAAGGTAGTCAAGGACAGCGATGGCCCACCAGATAAACATGGCACTATTGGTTCAACTTCCTCCTACCCGCGCTGAGATGCTCTGTGGCTCATGGGTGGGCGATGCCACGGTCACATGGCTTCTTCCCGATTTGGTCGCGCTCGTCCGGCCTAGAAAAACGGCTGTGGAACACCAGGTTTCGAGGAGCGCGACGGCTTCCCGGATAACTTATCGGTGAAGTTCTGGGAGCCCCAGGGGTAGTGGCTGGTGCTTCGGTCCTTGTTGCGCCTCCTGGGTCTGCCTTGCTGGAATCGCACCGGAAGGAGGCGATGAGCTTGAGCACGCTTCTGGTAAGCATTCATCACTTCAAGGTTTCTGAAAATAGGGGACCCTAATACAGTACCCTAAATAGGATCCTTATCATAAGGACCCCAAAATAAGGTGCCCCTTCTTTTCGGAAACGCCCACTTCCTGCTACAGGCCGCGCTCTTGAGATCCGAACAGGGCATGGACGGCCCAGAGCCCGCCCTTCCACGCCACGGAAGCGCTCGCTTCCGCAGCAGAGCTTGCTGCGAGTAGTAGAGGCTTCTGCAGGGTTTAGGGTTTAGGGTCATTTAGGGTTTAGGGTTTAGGGTTTAGGGTCATTTAGGGTTTAGGGTTTAGGGTTTGGGGCTCCTGAAACCTCCGAGAGCCTAGGCACTGGCAGTCCTCCGCGCTGAAGAGCGCCATGTCGGACACCTCTGTGGTTCAGGCATAACAAAAAAGACGAAATGAGAAGTAACAGTTTAGGGGTTCAAAGCCTGTAACAAAAATCAAGGCCAATGAATTAGACTCAACGTTACAGATGCAAGTGCAAGGTCAGGCCAAATGCCTAAGAGATGAAAAAAGAAAGAACTAATTCATTCAAAGCAAGACATAAACCTTATGCCAAAGACAAACACATCAAGATATAAAATACTGCAAGACCGAACATAAGGAGCAAGGTCAGGGGGATCAAGCTAGATAAGAGCCCAATGCCATGCCATGACCAAGACTTCCAGGAAAGCAAGGATAAGATACATAGGGTTCTGACAGATATACTGGTGAGTCAGACCAGTCTCGTCGAACACAGCCGAACCATCAGAAAGCTGAACACGGCTTGTTCGAAGGCCAGAGAATGAGCTGGCTATGATAAACCTAGACCATAAACCGCTGAACTTCCGCTTCCGTGCCACATTGCCGGGCCAACCCTGCAAATGCACTCCTTCCATCTAACCAAAACCACTGAGAACACCAGCCAAGGCAATGCGCGCAGGTTTTAGAAGCATACGGTTGAACGGTCGGATCTTGGAGATGTCTGGGCTTACTGCCGTCTGCATCTCAGGCGCATTGCAGTCGGAACCAGCAGTCACGATGTCCGAGTAGAGGGTGGTAAGCCTGAGGCTACGCAATTCGCAATCGCACAGCTTGGTGGGTCAGTTGCTGAGATCGGCGAGCGCATGTGATGGGTTCTTAGCTTTGGACGTCTTATTTCAGAGTCCTTGTAGCAAGAATCCCACAATCAAGGATCGATAAACTCGCTCGCAATGCCCGACCACGGCATGCCACTTGCTGGACATACACGCATGGATCTTAATTGAGGCTCTAAACACGACTCTTCCCCATTTGTCAGGAATCCCCACACCCTGAACCCCCCAAAATCCCAGAACCAGGAGCTTCGAGATCCCGCTGGCGGTGTTGGACGCGCAGGCTGCCTCAAGACTGAGGAGGAACGGACTCTTAGGGATAAGCGGCTGGGCTGGGGTCTAGGCGATTGGGGTGTAGCCCTAAACCCTAAACCCTAAACCCTAAACCCGGGTCATCAACGCAAGCCGGACGAGGAGGCTCACCGTTGCTACGGTCACTCGCATTTCTCAAAGGCAGACATGCAAGCAGCAGGAGGATGAGTCGTGGTAGTGGTGGTAGTGGTGGCGGTACTTGGAGGTTCATGGGTAGTTATAAGTGGGGGTATAAGTCCCCCTAATATGGGTTATACCTATAGCTACCTTAGTTATAAGCCTACTTATAACTACCCAGGAACCTCCAAGTAGCCATAGCCCCGAAGCCCAAAGCACGGAGGATCCCGGCCTGCTTCGCCATCCTTGGTGGCCAAGTCGGCTCAAGGCTTTCAAAGGCCGTTGCTTTCAAAGGCCCTCAGGCTTAGAGGTGTAAGGCGTAGGCTCTACGGTTTTTCGGGTTAAGGGTGGGCGGTTTTGGGGATTCAGATTTCAGGGTCGAGTCCTTTAGGGTTCAAGCTTTGGTAGGAAAAGGAGTTCGGCGTGTAGGTGCTTGAGCTGACGTTTGGCGGGTTATATAGGCCGGTTGTTACTTCTGGCGCTGAACATACCGAGGTTCGCAGAGGACCTGCACAACTCAGCAGAAACAGATTAAGTCCTAAAGCCCTGAACAGAGGCAATAGGCCCATCTCCCGCCAAGCAGCGTCGTCGGCGAGCCATAGCTGTTGTTCCTGAGACGCGATTGGAATCTCTAATCCCGAGCAAACCATTATAACTCCCGAACAAAAACACAACATTGAGCCCTTTCGCAAGGACATGAGCTTGCGGCGGGATCTTCAGCGTGTCTGGTACTCCCGGGCTAAAATTCTAGGCAAGAGGAATTAGGATGAGGAGCAGGAGGAGGAAGAGGGGTTGGGAGTTCAGGGAAGATGATCATGAAGATGGTACGAAAAACGACCCCTTCTGCAAAAGACGCTCGCAATCGCCAGCATAGTAATCACCAGGAACGAAACTAACAATTTAGTTAATGACATTCAAAACCATGACAAGTCATGCTCATGCCGACAAGGTTTAGGCTCTAGACAGTCCTCCAGACGTTGGCTTTTGGAGAACCTTTTCACAAGGGACTCTGCTGCTGCCCTTACTTTTGGAGAACCTAAACCCTAAATCTGCAACCAGAAGAAGCAAAGCAAACAGACCAAGGAGCACAAGCGCTTGGATCCTCGGCAGCATGTCCTGACATGTGGATCTACACTGTGAGGCCTAGGATTTAACATAGTTTTTTGGTGGGAGGCAAATTCAAGGTTTTGGATGTAGGGTTTTGGGCCTTTGGGTTCGAGCTTTTTGGATTTAGGGTTTAGGTGTTTCGGTCGCCAGAATCCTTCTGCAACCTTTGCAGGGTTCCCCCTGGACAATTGCAGAGCACGCCCGAAGACTGGCTTGAATTGAAGCGATCGCACGCATCCCGTGCCCGCTTTCGCAAGTCTGCATAGATTCAAGTTGGCAAAGTCGATCAGGAGCTGTTACGACTGAGAAAGCACAGCTCTTACCACAACCCAGACTCTGCCAATCGGCTGGGAAGCAGCTAACCCGCCCTAAACCCTGAACCCAATTTCGGGGTCATTGGGGGGCTCTTTCACTTTGGGCCCCTGAGCCCCAAAGCCCCAGACCATAAACCGAAACCGAAACAAAAAAAATGAAATTGGAGCCGTACTATACCTAGAACGGGTTTTGTGGGTTTCGGTTGGGTAAATTGATAGTCAGGAGTCAGGAAGCCCTAAGAGCTAGCATGTGCAATTCTTCAGATGCCCATTTCAGAAACCTATTATAAACTGCCTGTAAAACGGATCAAAACCCTACAAAAACCTTCTTCCTAAGACCCGAAGCCCTGAACCCTAAACCCTAAACCCTAAATCCTAAACCCTAACCCTAAACTCTAAATGACTCTAAATCCCAGAGCCGCTGAGTGTCCTTGGCCCCGAGCCAGGCATGTTTCAGCGAGGACTGGAGCCAGGCCCGCGCCGCCTGCGCCTCAGCAAGGGTGCGCCTCTGAAGGGCTTCGAGTTTAGGGTTTAGGGTTTAGGGTTTAGGGTTTAGAGTTTAGGGTTTAGAGTTTAGGCTTGAGGGTTTAGAGTTTAGGGTTTAGGGTTCTTCTTCCCTCTCGCTTTGTTGAGAAACTATGCTCGCGGCGAGGGTTTAGGGTTCAGGGTTAAGGGTTTAGGCTGGATTTCGTGGACTCTTCTTGGATTTGGAATTTTGAGCGTCGGGCTGACGGTTCAAGGTTGGCCGGGTGCCATGGCTCCCTCTCAGATGTTACGTGTGCGTCATGTATACAAACATCTGCGTACTGTAGAAACTCTGGACTTTTCCGGGAGTTTCGAAGTTCAGGGTTGGGGTTTCGGTTCAGGGTTCAAGTCTTGAGATTCGGTTCAGGGTTCCATCTCTGGTTCGGGCTTCGGGAGAAGGGACTTGTTGGATCATCAGTTGATTTGGGGCTTCAGGGTTCGAGTCTCGGAAGCCATCCTGGGTTTTTCGTTTGCATTCGAGCCCTCTCGTTGTGGTTGCTGTTACTGTTATTGTTCTCGTCATCGTTCTCACTCTGGTTCTTGATCTTCGTCCTCTTCGTAGTATAATTGTCGTTGTTGTCGTCATTCCTGTTGCTACTGCTGTTGTTGTTATACTGCCGTTGCTGTTGCTGTTGCTGTTGCTCTTGCTCTTGCCCTTGCCCTTGCGCTTGCTCTTGCTCTTTCCGTGCTGGGGTGTGTTGCGATTGTTCTTTTACTGATTAGTGTTATTCATATTGCAGCTGCTGTCGTCGTTGTTGTCGTTGTTGTTGTCGTCGTCGTTGTTGTTGTTTTGAAACTCCAGAAACAAGGAAAGGCATTTTTCCCATTTCCCTATGCAGCCCTCGTGGAGGTGGTCTCCCGAGTTCTGGCAATGGTCGGGTTTGGGGATTTTTGGATATGGCCCATGGCTCCAGGGAGGGTGCCTGCCCGCGTGTTCCCTGTCGGAGGTGGCAAATTGCTTCAACCGGAATCTGCAATCATCCGCAGCATCTGCATCTGCAGCCACATCATCACCGTCATCGAACCCCGCGCGTAATCTACTTGGCTTGTCTGGTTGCTAGGTGTTGACGAAGCGTTGTGTTGTATCCGGTTGTCGTGCGATTCGTCTATCTGCTTGCCTGCTGAATGGCTTATTTGTAGAGCCAGGTTGCCATACTCCGGCGGCCTCAATTAATAGAACAGGGTTCTGGAGAATACTGTAAAACTTTTATCATGGGGACTGTAAGGGGATCTTATCACGAGTTAGTACGGCTTCATCAAAAAGGCTTATGTCTTCTGGAATGAGAACCAAATATTAACGTTTCTATGCTTGGCTGGCCTTCAAAGACCCTGCAAAAATCTACATGTATACGGTTCCCATAAATATAACTTTCCGAAAGACTACATAAAATGGAAATGATACTTAAAACAACCCACCACCCGGTACATTATGGATCAGTTACTAATTAATCGTGAAAGTGTCTATATTAACCCTAAACCCTAGACCCCAGCCACTCTGCAGCCAGCAGACATCGTTGTTCACGTGGATAGCGAAGCTGTAGTTGGTGACGTTATGGCTGGCAGCGGAGATCTCAGCCGAGAGTTTGAGGGCACTTAGTGGTTTCAAAGTGGTTATAAGATATCTTCTATAGGGTCTAGGGTCCAGGGCTTTGGGTTTGGGGTGTAGGAGGGCTTTTGGGGCTTCTCGTCGATTTCAGGGTTCGACGCGCTGGAATCCATGCTTCAGGACCGGAACCATTCCACATCTACTCCAAGAAACAGCTACCCTACTACCACGGTGTAAGGCTTCTGGGAGGCCGCCCTAAACTCTAGACTCTAGACGACGCAACCTCCTAAAAGAGGGCACTGCCTCCCTGCAGCCATGGTGCCACCTCGTGCACGACAATCCCTGCATGGACGACGGTAAACCTGGGTTTACGAGCTTTTGGGTTTGATTGTTATGGCACTTGGGGGATGAGAGGTAACAGGTAGGTCCAGGTAGGTTGCTTGTGGTAGGGATAGGGAGATCGGGCTTCGGGAACTGCAACCTGCCCAAGGAGCTTGGGCGGTGAGAGTTTTGGGCTTGTGGCTTTGGACCTTTTCGAACCGGAGCTCCACCCACAAGCCCGAAACCGTTTCGATGTTCACACTCGGACACTCCTAAGTAAGCCGTTTAGGGTTTGGGGTTTCGGGCTCTGGGATCTTGGATTCAAGATACAGAGGTTTCTGACCTTAGACTAGTTCAAGGCAGGATCTCTCTCTCTCTCTCTCTTTCTCTCTCCCTCGTGCTCAGGGGCTCCTGTCAGATGCTTAAGGCTCGTTCTGTGACCGGGGCCATACTGAAAACCACCCGTACGACGGACTCAAACCGTAAACAATAAGCAAAGAACCACCCTCAAAAAAATCCTGAAGCCTTCAACCCCACCACCCTCAACCCCCCCGGTTACGTGCTGAAGGCAAGGAGCTTCAACATCTCCAGAAGAGAGTCCTCCTGCATCACCGCATGCGGCCCATACTTGTCTAGGCCTGCCCATGGTCATCAGCCACCGGAGATGTGGGGCCCAGGGTTTCCGACACTGAACCCGAAGATTCCAACCTCAAAACTCTCAATCCAAACCTTCTAACCCTAGGCTCTAGGCCCTGAACCTCAAACCCCTGATCGCCGAGAAAATCCTACGTTGGGTTACATGCCAAAGCCTCGACACCGTTGCAGACTTCAGGAATCGGCTGTGAAGGGCCGGAACCAGAACCCAGATAAGACCATCATAAGTAGCAGTACTCTTGGTATAGTGATTCGGGTGTTCAGCGGCCTGTACAACGGTTTCGGGTTAAGAACATTGGCAAGAGCACAGAGGCTAAAACAAGTAAGTAAACTGCGTGTCGGCTGTCAGCTGTCACGGGCTTTGTTTAGGGGTTTAGGGGTTT